AAGCCGGTCAGTTTGACTATAAGTTTTTTGAAATCGGAGCTCTGAATGACCTTTTTATCAAGATTTGAATGTTTGATGCTTAAAATATTATCTCGAGATTCGTGTCATGATTTGAGATTCGTGTCGGATGACGAAATTTTGTTGGTGGTGTATCAACTATTACGGAAAATTTACCAGAGACTTAATCCATCAAAAGTATACATTTTTAATTAATTTATATACTTGAAAAAATATTTTGTTACAGAAATATTCTTCATTAATTTATACTTTTAAAATAACTACTATATTTCGTTTTGACTTTGCCATTAAATCAAAGCTTTTGAATAACTTTTTTTCGTAATTTAAAATTTGAAATTGAAATATTGATAATTAGTTTATGAAAATAAGTACTTTCGAAAAATTTATCAGCTTTAATAATTTGAGAATTATAAATAGTTTATTTCAAATATTATTGAAATTTTTAATTTATCGTCAATATATTGAAGTAAAATATTATTTTATAATATATTATCTTATATATTATAATTTATTAGCTTTTTCTTTTTAAATTCACCGCATAATTTGTTTATGATGAAACTAGAAGCTTAATTAAATTTATATTTTGAGTGTTAATTTTTTTAAATTATGTTTAAATTTTTTAAATAGCGCGATATATAATGAAAAATACTGGATTTTTTATAAGATTGAGAACTGTGATTTATTATTTATGTACAATATACGCAAAAACAAACAATTTATAAATGGGTGTAAATAAAATAGCTAATTCGAAATCCAATATGCAAATTAAATATAAATAAGAACGCACATATATAGAAGATAATATGAACGAGATGTGTTAAAGCGATATAAATGGGTGTATAATTGTGGACCATAATTTAAAGGGAAATTTACATACATATGTTATGCGAGAATAATACACAACAACAATCAAATCTAAAAGATTTTTGTGGTTCAACATGAAACTGATACGCCTACGTCCATTGGGAGGGACATTTCATTAGCACCGGATTTGAGAAAGAAAGATGCTAGATGCAACAATTCACACCTCTCACCATATAAATTTAAAAGTCCTTGAGTCTCTTTTATAGATGAGGACTAGGTTATACAAGTAAATAAAGCCAAAAGGCCAAATTATACCTAATATAATCAAAGCCATAAATACAAGAATCTACAGCTCATCTCTTACTTCTAAATGAGTTCCAAAATCCAATTCAACTGCACCAAGATGGTTGCAAATGTACCCCCCACCCTAAGGGATCAAGCCTCGCATAGTTCTTCAAAATGCCCGCATGGGCAATCGATCCTGAGCTCGAATGTTCACCAAACTTCTACAATAGGTAAAATTCTAGACTGGCAGTACCTTTGCGGGTTTGACTGCTAGATTCTTCTTCATATCTATCTTCTTCAACAAAAACTTGCCTTCTTCAATCAAGTCCCGAACAAAGTTATATCCCACATCAATGTGCTTGGTACAAGCAGGATAAACTGGATTTGTGGCGAAAAATATTGCACTGTAACTATCACAAAATACTGTCAGAGACTCCTGATCCTCCCAAGTCATCCAATAGGACGTGCATCCATATATCTTCCTTTATCGCCTCTATTATTGTCATGTACTCAGTCTTCATAGTAGACAATGCAACAGTAGACTGAAAAACCGACCTCCAATTGATTGGATTCCTGAATAAATAGTCAATTGTAAACCTCCACCTATCCATATCACCTGCATAGTCTGACCTACATAGTCTGAGTGAGTGTAGTCTACGCACAAATCTGTAATAGATTACATTCACTCAAACACCAAGCTGACATCAATTGTACCCTTTAGATACTTCAAAATACTCTTCACAACCTGCTAATATTTTCTTCCTGGATCATCCATAAACCTGATCACAACACCATATTGGTTCCTTGTATACTCATGTCCTCTCATAAACATCAATTACACCCAATGGCTTTCCTTCATAGAGGGAGCTTCTACAACCTCCAAGTACTGTTCTTCCGAAGAGACTACATCTCTTCATCCATTATTGCTCTCCAAAGATCATAATATGGGCTTTTCACCACTTCTTTGTAGTAACAAGAAATTTTTGCCTCTGTGGCTGAAAGTGCAAATGCAATATGATCCCACCACTAAGCTTGTTTTAAGACATTTTAGCACCTAATCATGCTTCTAGCAATAGATTCATGAACAAGAATCTCATCCTCAATATTTTCTTTCACCTTTTCCTGAGCACTATCAACAAATACCTCCTGACCTGCAACCAAATCAAAAATCTGAGTCAAAGTGGAAAAACTCTATAGAACAAATGGAGTAGCATCAAACTATAAATTTCACTACATATTTGTGGTATGAGTAGAAATCTTCACCTACTTTGAGTCCTGATTTTCAACAAGTTTGTCTCGTCAAATGTAACATCTTTGTTAATGACAATTTTCATTTATAACTGATCATACAACTTGAAGCCTTAGACTCCACGCTTGAAGATAAAAGAAGATAACCTTCTTTAATCATGGTTCTAGTTTATCATTCTACACGTGGTAAGTAAGATGGACACTCATAGACACCCATACACTCACATGTGCTCATAATCTCTAGCAGGATGCCATGTACACATATCTTTTGGGTACTGATTCTGAATAGCAGCATAAGATAAACAGTTTACTAAGCGACAAACATATTCTATATCATCAACCCAATAGATTCTATCCAACCAAACACTAGATAACATGCACTGAGCTTTCTCCACCAGTGTCCAATTCATCCTCTCTGTCACCCCGTTCTGTTGTAGTATCTTTTGAACAGTGAAGTAGTGCTCCATCCCATCTCTCTTACGCTCTTGTAAGAGATTAATCAAAGTGTGTTGCCACCATTATATGATCTGACACATCAGATCTTTTTATAAGTCTGAGTTTCAATCCACTTCTTCCAAATTATGAAAATATCCAGCACTTCACTTTTGCACTTCATAATGTACACCAAAACATACATGCATTAATCATTAAAAAAAGAGACAAAATATCTTTGTCTGCTGAATGATGATGTCTTCGTTGAGCCCTAAACATCTATGTGAACATATTCTAAAATATCTTTTATACTGTTAATGACAATATCAAAAGATACACATGTCTTCTTGTCAAACATCCATTATTCATAGAAATCTAGATTGCACGTATTGGCTCCTTTGATCAATCATTTCTTCTCCAAAAGCCTGAAGTGAATCCTTTCAACATAAGTTAGTCGCATATGCCACAACATAGTGGCGTCAGAAGAATTATCAGTAACAATTGTTCTAGTCACTGTAGAACCTTAAAGGTAGTTAAAATTGTGATGACGAACTCTCTTCATAATAACCATTGCTCCACGACATATCCTCGGAACTCCTGCCTGAATAATTACCTTGTAACCCTTGCACTATAAAGCCCTAACTAACAACAAATTATTTCTGATATCTGGAATATATTTAACATTAATGAGCTCCCTCATAGTACTATTATGCATTCTGATAAATATACTCTTTACACCAATAATACGAAAAGTTTAATCGTTGTCCATAGTCACTATGCTGCTATCTAGCTCCTTGTACATATAAAACCATCCTCGATGAGGAAAAATGTGATAGGTAGCACCTTTGCTTAGAATCCAACATGAATTATTTGTAAATAAATTATGAGCATTACAGATATTAATACATCTGAATCTGTCTCTTCATATCTTTCCACATTGATATTGGCTTTCGCTCATAAGCAACTTCCTTTCCCTTCTCCTTCAGCTTCAGACAATCTTTTTTCTAATGACCAGTCCTTAAACATAAAACACACTGATTTTTTTTCAAAACTTTGCTCACGAGACTTGTCATGCTTTTAAGAAGTGTCACCGTTGTAACATTTATTTGCCCAATTCTTCTTCTTTTTCTCTAATCTGTCACGTTTGAGTGTAAGTGCCTCATTTGATTCCATCTTTGTGAACTCTTGTCCCTTCGATGAAACTCATGATTCAACAGCGTCACAGTCATTTCGTCGT